CGAGGGAGGACTCGGCTGTCAGACTAATTTCTGGTCTCAGCGGTTTCGTTCAGAAGACTTTACGCTGTCGTCTGGCGCCGGGGCCACTCAAAAGCTGGGAGAGGACGGCTGAAGCGGCGCCCGGTTGCCACCCTCTACGGCTCTACCCGTCAGCCTCAGCCTTGAGCCTCCGCTCCGAGTGGAGGATTCGTGGGCCTCCTTGCTATCTGACGCAGGGCGAATGCGGTGCTCCGTGTCCCAGAGTAGTTATGCCTCGCGCAGACGACTTAAGTCCCTCGGGCGGGTAGGAGCGCAGACAAGGCGTGGTGTGGATAGTGTTTTCCTGTTGGCCATGGACAAGTCCCTGGGATCGGGTTGATGGTGTTTGTTTATAGAGAGCCTTCTGGGTGCACAGGACGTCTGTAGGATTAAAATGCTGCTTTCCCTGCCTAACCCCTCCACCGTTCTCCTCCTAGAGCACTCTCGCTCCTTACAGAGAGGATCCGTTAGTTAGGCCAACTTACAATTCAATTATTTTAGAAACAAAGGTGATTGATACTAAAAGGGTAATACTTTAAGTTCCTGATTGTTTTACTATTATCCGTGCTCGTGAGGTTATTTACTTTTACTGCATTTGTATGGTGGGCATATTTAGGCACATGCCTTCTGAACTTCAAATTCAATAACATCACAGTGGTAGCTTGAAATCGGACTGGGTGGGAGTATTCACATCACTCAGATGCTGCAAATCCAGGCCACCCTTCTCTCCCTTTATTTGTAAGCATTCACCAGTATGCCACAGTCCTGGTCCATTCTGAGATGAAGACTTGAGATTCCAATGGGCTACTAGAATCACTTACCCGGCACATTATTACACAGTATTTTTCTGCCAACACAGTTCTGTAACCACTCACATAGTCAAGGTGGCACTGGAGGAACCAGTACCAGGAGAGATTTATTAGAAACAAATGAACTTGTCTTTGTGACTTGGCTCTAAGTCTTCTTCTTCTTCTTCTTCTTTTTTTTTTTGAGTCTTCCCTGATTTACTCTGGGGTATTTGTATTGACAGCATATCTGAAATATCTGGCCAAATTTGGAAGGGGAAGGGCAGGGTACAGTCTAGAAATAGGACTGATAATCTGTGGAAATGGTAGAGTTTGTCTTTGAAGCGTGGTTTACCATGGAATACATTTTTAACCTTGCTTTTTGATAGAATGACACTTTAAATAAGTGTGAAACTTAATAGCATTCCTATCATTTGCCTTCAATTTTGTAGACAGCTTTATTGAGAAATTATTGACATAAACTGCACATATTTAAAGTGTACAGGTCAGGTGCAGTGGCTCTCACCTGTAATCCCAGCACTTTTAGAGGCCAAGGCAGAAGGAGTGCTTGAACCCAGAAGTTTGAGCCTGGCCTGGGCAACATAGTGAGACCTCATTTCTATCTAAAAATCAAAAAATCAGCCAGGCGTGGTGGCACGTGCCTGTAGTCCCAGCTACTCAGGAGACTGTCAGGAGGATCACTTGAACTCAGGAGTTTGAGGCTACAGTGAGCAGTGATCCTGCTACTGCACTCCAACCTGAGTGACAGTGAGACCTAGACTCAAAAAAAAAAGTGTACAACTTGATAAGTTTTGATACATTTTTATACTCACGCAACCATCACTATAATCAAGATAATGATTATATGTTGTCCACAAGTTTGCTCATGCCCTGTTGTAAACACTCCCTTCTATCGCCCAGGAAAATACTGATTTGCTTTCTCTTATTATATATTAATTTTCATTTTCTAGAGTTTTATATAAATGGAATCATATAGCATGCACTTTTTTCTGTTCTGAATTTCTTTTCTTCTTCTTTTTTTTTTTTTTTTGAGTTGGTGTCTCAATCTGTCATCCAGGCTGGAGAGCAGTAGCATGCTGACAGCCACCACAGCATCAACCTACTGGGCACAGGCGATCCTTCTGCCTCAGCCTTCCAAGTAGCTGGAACTACAGGCATGCACCACCATGCCCAGCTAATTTTTTTGATTTTTATTGTAGAGATGAGGGCTCACCAAGTTGCCTAGGCTGGTCTCGAACCCATGGGCTCAGGCAGTCCTCCCATCTTGGCCTCCCAAAGTGCTGGGATTATAGGCGTGAGCCACTGCGCCTGACTGAATTTCCTTTATTTAGTACAATTATTTTGAAGTTCATTCATGTTTTACTTGTATCGGTATTCTTTTTTTAACTTGCTGAGTAGTATTCTGTTGTATGGATATAAAACAATTTTCCCATTCACCAGTTGATGACCATTTGGGTTGTTTCCAGTTTTTGTCTGTTGCAAAGAATGCCGCTACGAGCACAAATCTTTGTGTGGATGTATGCTTTATTTTCTCTTGGGTAGATCAAAGAAAGGAATAGATAAATCATATGTTAGATGTGTGTTTAACTTTTTTTTTTTTTTTTT